CCATCAGCATGGTTATGACTTTTGTTTTGATTCTTTTTCAGGAGGATTGGTTAAATCAATTTCCCCAGATTCCTTCTCAGGGGAGGATCTGGAAGCTGTCTGGGTTAGTCTGGTCTGGATCTACTTTGTTTGCCTTTTCATGTTGATAGATGCAGTGGTATGCTGTTGACTTCAGCTGGGAGTTCCAAGACCCTTTCCACTTTCTCCTGGCCTTTCTTTAGTGGGACAACAGCAACCCCTAGCAGCCTGTGTTGGGCAATTGTGCATAGACTGGGTCTCTGTTTCTTGCCTGAACTCTGTGGAGGAAGCTCCCTTGCTGCAGGCATGGCCAGCCTCAGGCTGCTGCTCTATGGTGGGGCCCTGCCAGAGGAGGAATGGGCAGAGGGCTGTTTATCTCTGTGAGGGGACTCAGAGATGCTGACCAGGGGTTTAGGGTGCCTGAAGTTCCCCTGGATTCCCAGCTGCTGGGCTAAGAGTCCCAGGATGCTTTCATCCAGCAGTGGGATCCCTGTCCCTTTAAGACTTTCAAAAAGCACTCGCTTTTTTTTTGTCCCAGGGCCGCCGGCTGCAGGGACCCCACTCGCTGGTTTTACTGTCCCATTTTGCTAGTTTCCCACACTCCTCGCACTGTGTGTCTGCGCTCCTGGTGCGGATGGCTAGGGCTCGGTGTTTAGCAGTCCTGGGCTTCCTCTCCCTCCCCGCTCCCACTCCTCTCCTCCTGCCAGGAGCTGAGGTGAGGGTCGCTCGGGTCCCGCCAGGCGCGGCTTCTATCTTACCCCCTTTGCGAGGGGCTGGGTTCTCGCGGATGTGGATGTAGTCTGGCTGTTGTCCTGAATCTTCTGGTCTCTCTTTTAGGGATAGTTGTATTTGTTGTATTTTTAAAAATATATATGGTTTTGGGAGGTGATTCCCACTGTCCTACTCATGCCGCCATCTTGTCTCTGCCCCAGAAAATCTCATTTTATCCACAAGGAAGAAGACCTTCACAAAGGAAAATTTATGTCCTGCTTTTAGGCAGATGGGGGAGGGCAAAAGCTGTTTTTGTATTTGCTTTCTTCTTAATTGTCTACAGCTTAAATAATTCTTATACCAAAGTGGCATGTTTTGAAGTGATGTACTGTGATCCCCTTCAGTCTACAGAACCATTTTGGTGGTTCTGCTGGTCTGTCATTCTGGGCTGCCCTCCCTGCTACGTCTCTGAGCAGCTAAGTTGGCTGGGGCAGATGAGTGTGAGGATGCCTCAGTTCCCTGTTTGGGGGTTGGCTGGCTATGGGCCGCAGCATTGGGTTTAACTGGGTTTAGCCTGGTGACAGCAGCAGGGGCCCTGGGGTGAGAGGTGAGGCATGCAAGGCCTTTTGAGGCCTAGGTTTGGAAATAGGAAAGTTAATTATGCTGCATTTTATGGGTTAAAGCAAGTTGTAAGGCCAGTTATATTAAAGGAATGGAGAAACAGATTGAGGGCTCACCATTGATTGAGGGCTGCAGCAAGCTGAGTAAGTACAGGGCAGGGAAGAATTTATAATTATCTTCAAACCTGTCACACTTAGCTGTAGGTGGAGAAGCTTTTTCACTATTCCTGGAGCAGGACCACTGCTTTTTCTATGCTGAACGTTTGCTCAAGGTATTTCCTATGCCCCAGAAGTCAGCTACTCACTCATCTTGGGGTTTAAATTGCATTCTTCCTTCAAAGTCCAGCTCCAAAACTAATCATCCAAAAAACTTTTCCCCATCCCTTCAACTAAATGTGCTTTCTCACTCTGAAGAAGTTGAAATGCTGCTACAGACTCCATGAAGTCCATCAGTTCTAAACTATTCATGACAATAGGTATAGTTACATACAACTGCAAACAATCTTCCCTCATCTTAGTATATAAAATGACTATGGTTTAGGGTGATAGTTTCTATTATATTGAATCTGCTGTGATTTCTTCATTCACTTCTACTGTAAAAGAAAGCTGGCATTCATAGCTACTTGCCTATGACTTTGTAGCAAAATTATTATGTATGGCTTTTGTGATTTTTTTACTGTTACTTTGGAGACCCCAAATGCACTTTTTCAAATTATCTTTGCTTTTAATGTTTAGTATTTTAGAAGATCCTAAATTTACCTTTACATTTTATGACATAGAGAATGGAAATGGTTTTGGGTTTGAATTTGATATCTATGATTTCTATCTTTTATACTATAATACATTTTTAAAAAACTGAGAGAACACTTAGATTTGTTTATTGACTCACTGCATAGCTCCTAATAGCAACTTAAGTCTTATGGTGTAAGACACCCCCACAAGGTGATATTAAGTGTACTGTGTGATATAATGCTTAAGGTCAGTATTTCTGGCACTTGGGAAAACAGATGGGTTTGTGAGGTGTCAGTAGTATCCCATGTTCTAATTTAAGTGTGCCAGTCTGCTGTTTATCAAGGTTTTTTAGAAGTCATGTTTGTGAGAGAGTAAATCAATTTTATTCCTTAGAGGCTATGAGGCAAAACACATAGCTGTATATATAGCTGATAGAGATACAGAGGTGCTTTTTTTTTCCTGATAAAAGTATTTCAAGATAATTCAAATATTTTGAAGCAGAGTGAACATTCTAGTCCAGCGCTATCTCACTTTGAAATGAAGAAACTAAGACTCAAGAGTTTTAAATCATTCAACTACTTGGTAGTAATTAGATTCCTAAGTATCAGGAAAAAAATAATTCAACAATAAATGAAGATAGAAACAAACTATAGCAAAACAAGCAAACAATAAAACCAACATGCATCTCATTGCTGACGGGGTTAATGCTCTCACGGTTAATACTCTCAAGGTGAGTTGAAGCCTTACTGCCTCCTGTTCAAAAGCTTCAGGCGGGAATTTGGGGTCTAATGTTTTCTTCACGGTTTCGACAGTCTGTTTTATGTCAAATGGCAATGAGGCGGAAAGTCAGGGGGTGTACAGGCATGCAGGTTCTTGGAAATAAATTAACGAAGAGCGAATGAATTAAACCTCTTATTAAACAACCAACCAATAAAACCCCAGGCAGAGAAAATCGCCCTCTTGTGTTAACTAGAGCTCCTACAAAGTTTGCTCACTTTGATGGTCTTAGGACCTGCACAGTTTTTGCCGGATGTTTGTCCCTCGGAGGTTACCCAACCGGCAGGGTGGTCATGAGCTGGGGAGGCAGTGGCTCCCAGGAATGTGGGCAAAACCCTCCAATGAGGGCAGCCCTACCTGTTTGTCCCCACGCAGCTCCCTTCGGAGGCGGGGCCCGCCCCCCCCCGCGGGCCCCGCCTCGCCCGTCCCCGTCCGCCCCGTCCGCCCCGTCCGCCCCCGTCCACCCCCGTCCGCCCCCGCCTGGGGTGATCTGGGTGCCGCCCCGGGTCCCTCGCGGCACCTGGAACCGGCCCGCCGCTACCACGCGTGCCCGGCCCTCTCCGGGATTCCCGCGGTCCTGATGTGCTGGAGCCGGGTGCTCCACCTCGCACCCAGCTCTGCACCAGCAAGCGGGGGAAAGATCGGCGTTACATGGGCTGGGACGTTAGAAGCTAAAGGGGTGCTGCTTCCCAGCTAGCTGCGAGGCTGTAAGGAAGCTGATGAAATATTGATTCCTTGATTGAGTGAGTCATGTTGGCAGACCTCATTTCACTTAATGCATTAACCAGCTCCATGGAGGTGTTCTGGTTTGCAGTGAGGTAAAAGCCTCAGAAGAGCTCAATAATGCAGACTGGAGGCCTGCCAAGGTTAGTACTGGAACTTACATCCGGAGTCCAGCCTCCACTCCTTGCGGCCTCCTTTGCAGCCTGGAGGAGCAGGCCAATCTAACCGGTTCTGCGCCCTTACTCTGCACTAGAGTCTTTGCCAGCCAGCAACCCAGTGCCCTGGGGTGTGTGAAATACCGGCGGGGAGAGGAGGCGGTCAGGGAGGGCAGAGCATTCCTTTGCGGCCCGTTAAGGACTCAGGAAACAAGATGGATATTAAGGGTGCGGCACTGTATGTATTCAGTCATTCAGTAAGCCTGCCCGCCGCCACCTGTCAGCTGCAGGACAGGGGTCGGAGGGATGGAGACTGGGGCTGGGGTAGGGTGGGCTGCCGGTGCTGAGCGGCCCCGAATAGGGCAGCAGGAAGGCAGAGTTGATGCCTTGGTTAACGTGGCCCGCAAGTAACCCACTGGCTCCCAGGTGGGCTCCTGGGGGTGTGTGAATGAATGCGTGGTTGTGTGCCTGCTTGCCAGCCAGCCTAAATTTACATTCTCTTCTCGGGGGTGGGGGTCAAGAAAGAGGTTGGGTCGGACCTCACTTGTACCGGAGGCACTGAACCTTAAAGACAAGGTCGTCCTAACTCCTAACTCCCTACAGATAAAAACTAAATTACTAAATTGTCATATGAGTGCAAAAAAGTCCAATTATACTCTGATTTCAATCCAGCCATTCTCGCCCACATTTAAAACATCCAGTGTCCTCATTTTTATTTGTCGGTATTCCTGAATTGAGGGGTCCAAAACATGCCTTGGACAGTCTCAGGGTAGCGGAGAAGGCCCCAGCAGAGTCTCCCACAAGTAAACTGTAATAATCTTCTCTGTGCCTCGGTTTCCTACTCTGTTAATTGGGTGAGCTAACTTCCGCACAGTGGGTAAGGCCAGATCCTTACTAAGGGATGAAAAACTTTTTGTTAATCTGACCTAGACGACTGGAGTCCTTGTTCTGGTCCTAAATTACTGAGAAATTCCTTCTTCTCCTTCCTAGTTTTTCAGGGAATGAGGCTGGGTTCCACTGTCCTGAAAGCACTCTGCCCCGGTCGCCTTCGGTGACTGCCAGACCACAACTTGCAGCTCTTCCCGACTTGGCGACCGCAGGCGGCGGCGCCCCAGCGTCCCGGCCCCGCCCCTCCGCGCGTCCCGGCCGCCGCCAAATCCCGGCGCAGGAATCACGCGGGCTGGAGCCGCTCTGGGCATGCTCAGTGGCGGTGCAGGTGGGGCCGCCGCTGGACGCCGGTTCGGGCCGTGTCGAGGGGCGGGGGCAGAGGGAAGTGGGCGGGAGCCGAGTGCCGGGGGCCAGAGTCTCCTCAGTCGCCGGGCGCTGGGCAGGGGGTGACCCGCGCGGGCCGGGCCGGGATGAGCAATGGCATCGGTCAAGGTGGCCGTGAGGGTCCGGCCCATGAATCGCAGGTGAGTTGGCGGGCTGCGCAGGCGGGCCCCTGATGCTCCTCTCCCGGAGGAAGCTGGTCTCCAACTCCCCTCAAAGGCCAGTCTAGATTTGAATGTCACGGGCCGGTCTCCGGCCCCCTGGGCCCTGGCTGTGGCCTCTAGGGCCCTGTGGGCCTGGAGCACTTCACGCTTTACTGTCCCTTTCACTCTGCCCTGGAGGCGAACGTGAGGGTAAATAGTTTGCGAGGCCTGGAAGAAGATTTCTATGAACTCTTCCTAGTCCCATTAACTTGAGGTTTGCTTGTTCCCCTTTTAACAAACATAAAGGGATCACTTCCATGAAGCTGCAAAATCGTTTGGGAGAACTTGGGAGCAGTTATGGGGACACCAAGAGCTGTCAGGCAAACTCCTTTCAATTATGCCAACTCAGAAGTTCTCTGTTAACAATGTTACTTTTAAATCTGCAAACGAGAGGTGATTTCGAGTCCCTAAATGTGAACCCGCACTTTTAATCAGTACTTTAGCAGTTCTTAACTTTAGGTTAAAGAGATGGGAAAACTTAAACAAAATTTTGACTACTGGGGAGAAAAAAAAATCAAGGACAGTTAAGTACACGTGTTTGAAACATGCCACTGTTAACAGAGGGGGAGAGTTATAATAAATACCGTTGGAATTTAATCTTTTCTGTTTCTACAAAGTAATGTTTTCAGAATGATTTGACATTTCATTCAGTGAAGAATAATCTGTGCTTTACAGTGACCTCTTTTAATCAGTTTAGAAAGTTGCTTTGGAAAAGTTACTTTTTAGATAGGTTTAACTTTAAAGAATGGAGTAGCCGGAAATGGGCTGTGTCCTTCCTAGTTGATAAGTGCAGTTCTAATAAGGTATTTTCTTGGTTTCTCAGTCAACTTGCGGGATATTTGACTTACCATATGGCTTTTCCACTTTGGTCATATCAATTGGTGGAGGTCATCGGTAGTTCTTCTGACAGCTGAGGGCATTAGAAGATCATAAAATCAGGAGGTTGCCAGAATCTTTGACTTACCTCAATCTATTTTCTCTTGGCAAACAAGGATCATTATTCTGGTTGTAGCTATTGGAAACCAGTGCTTTTGTAATTTTTAAGTAATTTCTAAAGCTTTTTAGGGAGGGAGTTTGACTTTTTGTAAGTCCTAAGGGAATATGTGTATTTCTGTGTATATTCAATCATTCAAAACAAACAGATCCCAAAGTCATTTAAATGATTTAAAAAGGTTTTTCTTTATTTTGGATTTACATGTATATAGAAGTTCCTTTTTTCCTTTGGAATAATATTGAGCACAAGCTAGATCATTGTATTGAGTACTTGAGAAAGTATTTAAGGACTTACCAAATACACAGCATTGTGCTCGGTGCTGTCTGGGGGACAAGGTGACTGAGGTCTGATGAGTGTCTTCTAGGAGCCGGAGCCTGTCTGGTGAGGGAGGGACTGTATGCTGGCAGGACGCTTGGAAGGTGTTGGGACAACTGGGAGGGATGCCCGAGTGCGGTGTTTTGCCAGTGTAGGCCTGGAGCCCAGTTATATGGGGGGATGGCAGGAAACACGTCCAAATGCCATGTGCTTTTGGAAGTAGAGTGAGGTGATGATAGTTGAGCTCTCAGCAGAGAGCTCTTGTTGTGTCAGGATTAGGGCAAGAGGTAAGAAAGCAGTAGTTGGGCTGAAAGTGGAAGAGGGAAGGCTGAGTAGATAACACTGAGATAGTTTACTGGCAGAATTGACAAGATTTGGCTGCTCATTGCCGATGGGAAGAAGGGGAAAGGGGAAGAATATAGAGTGATTAACTGAGGTTTGATGCTCAAGGAGGTGGAAGAGGTTTGGGGAAGGTGGATGGTGAAGTTGGTGTGTTCTTTCTTGGGTATATAGAGATACGTGAGATGCGGCAGTGTCAAGTACAAGTGCAGTGTCCCACACAGAGTGGATGCCGTTCACGTGTTGACCCTATTCATTATCTGAAGTGCGGGTAGGCCCTCCATGTCTTTGCTGGTGTTCAGTGGACTGTTAGAAACCGGGGTTAAGGTCTCAGGTGATTCAGGGATTGACAGCTAGAAATCTTTTGCACATAGATAACAGGTTAAGAACATTACAGTGAAGAGATTTTTCAGGAGAAAATCTTATTTGTATGTATAAAGCACAGATCTACCTACCTATATGCAGTACATTTAAAAAAAAAGGAATGTTGTAGTGAGAGAACGAAACTAGGGATTGGACCCTGGGATATACTTGTCTTTAGGATTCCAGGGAGAAGATTGGCTTGCCGCTCACGGAGGAGACCCAGTTCAGCAAATTGTCATGGCAGGGAAGGGAGAGTGTCCTGAAGGAGGTGGTGATGGTTGGTGTCAGGTGTTGCCAGGATGGTGCCCTGATGATGCAAGTAAAATGAGGTCCTTGGTTGGTCATTGGTCTTGGAGACAAGAGTATTGGCAGTCTTCTAAATTTCAGGAAGAGGCAATGATCCAGAAGTTGGTAGTGAAATGGAAAGAGATATATGACTGGCCAACCAAAAATACTTGACCTAAACATGCAGATTATAATAGTAGTAAGAGGCCTTTTTTTTAACCAGTGAGATTGGTGAATATTAACTCAACATTAAGTGCTGGCAAAGGAATGGTGATAAAATCATAAAGGCTCAAAACCTCTGGAACTCTCGTATTGGGGAAATTTGACAGTAGATGTCAAGATTAGAAATCTATAAGCTCTCTGGGCAATTTCATTTCTAAGAATTTATTTTATGGATTGTATTCCTACCTACCTAGATGTATGTGCAGGGATGTTTGTTGCATCACTATTTGTAGCAACAAAAAATTCTAAGTGACCTAATTGTATAAAGATGGGGACTTTGTCGAATTATGGCCTATTCATTTGGTAAAATGCTCTGCAGAGTTTATAGAAGTGTTGATTTTAAGAGCTCCAAGATAGGGGATTAAGAGAGAAAAGCAAGATAGCCACAAAAATAAACACCTATAGCAGCAGAGTAGAGTTGTGTCAATATGTGCATTAGAAAATGTTACACACACACACACACACACACACCCACCCACACCCCCACACACCCCCAGCTGAATCTGTATAGAATGATTCATAATAAGCCTTAGAGTGGTAAGTCTGAGGAGGAGGACTGAATCTTTTAGGTGATGGTTGAAGGCTCTTCTTTTTCTCTTTCAGTTTTTACTTTGTTCATGTATAGTTTTATGATTAATAAATGCATACCTATTTATGTAATTTTAAGAAGTTACCTAGAAAGTCTTTGGCCTTAAATAAAGAATTTTTAGGTGATAGTCTGGGAAGGTTGAAGGAAATTGTTAAAACTTTTTCCTCCCTGATTTATTGAGAATAAGGAATATATAGCACTGTGTAAGCTTAAGCTGTACAACATATGACCCGACTTACATGTATTGTGAAATCTTTATCACAGTAAGTTTAAGTAACATCCATCACCTCATATAGATAATAAAAAAAAAGAAAAAAGAAATTTTTTTCTTGTGGTGATAATGCTTAGTATTTACTCTCTTAACAATGTCCCTGTATATCATACAGCAGTGTTACCCATGGTTATCATGTTGTATATTACTTCCCTTGCACTTACCTTATAACTGGAAGTTTGTACTTTTTGACCACCTTCCTCTAATTCCTTAACTGCCCACCATGGATGGCATCCACAATTCTGATCTGTTTTTCTGAGTTTTTCATTTGTTTGTTTGTTTAGATTTTATGTGTAAGTGAGGTCATATAATATTTGTTTTTCTCTGACTTACTTCATTCACTTGGGAGTAGTGCCTTCAAAGTCTACTCCAATCTTGCAAATGATGGGATTTCCTATTTTGTAGCTGAGTAATATTCCATTGTATAAATATACATCACAGCTTCTTTATCCATTGATTTGTCAGTGGACACCTTGATTGTTTTCATGTCTTGGCTATTGTAATTAATGCTGCTATGAAGATGGGGTGCAGATTGAAATTTTGTAATGTTAATTTTTTAGAGTAGAAGAGTTTTAGGCAAAAAGATGGCAACCAACAGAAAGGAAGGCCTGGAGTGATTAGGAATTGAGGGAGGCTATGGCAGCCAGGCTCTTAAAGTGTGGCAGCAATACTGAGTTTCTGAGCTAGGGGGCTTTGCAGTAACTAGTCCTCCTTGCAAGAAACACCCAGTACTTGATTCAAGCCAGTGTTATGTGCTTGTGTTTATTACCTTGTGACTTTTGGTTATGTGGCAGAAAAGTGGTAGGTTCAAATTGTAAAGTGCCATTATCTTGCATCAGTTAACAACAGCTGCCTCAGCTGAGCGTTTGCTCTGTACCAGTGGCACAAAATCTTAATCTTTGCAACAATCTTAGCAGGTAGAGACTATTAGTGGCATACCATTTTACAGATTGGGAAACTGTTCACTTACCCCAGGTTAGTTTCTTAGAACAGTCACAGTTACGCTTTTTGAAATGAGTAAAACATTAGCAGAAACTTAATTTGTTCATACTTATTAATGGGCAAAAGTTTAACATTTATGTATTGTCTCTATACCTTTTTTCTTTGTGAGTTCCTCCTTTGTTCTGCCTAGTTTTTATTTTTTATTGGTTTCATTTTTTCCACAGTTTTACAAGGCACATTAATTTTTTTTTCTCCTGTGAAGAGACAACACAATAATAATTTGGTAACTAATTTGCTCATTTTCTGTTGGTCATGGAAATACTAGGTGATTCTTCAGGGCCCTCTATCCTGTTCCATTGATCAGCCAGTGTCAGCAGGGTCCGGGTCAGAGGGCAGACTGCCTGGGTTCCAGTTTTAGTTGTCATTTATAAGCTGAGTAAATTTGAGCAAGAGACTTAATTGTTCCAAGCCTCTGGTTTTGTATCTGTACAATGGTGGTAATAATTGTATGTGCCTGATAAATTGTGAAACAAAGTCTTTTTCAGATATTTTTTCCTGTGACTCACAATAGACTTTTAAGATTGAAACTCGGTAGATGCGTAAAAGCACTTCATAAGGTG